AAGGTTCCTCGAGCGAATGGAGGCCATGGAAGACGAAGACAATGTCGATTAAACAGAGAGGAAAAAGCTACGCCGCGTGGGAGGCCCGGGAGGAAATACGGATTCGTTGACGAAACCAATATAGAAACACTCGAAATAAGTCTCTTGAGATAATTTCTTGCGAAGATGTTGCTTTACGGTTACATATTTTCGATTTGATATAGTTGTCGCTAAGCATACCGATATAACTTTCTTTTTGACATTAACGTGACAAACACGTGAAATTTTACGATTTAGGTTGCAATTTTATATACATTCAAACATTGGTTTTGTCGCTACGTTACTGTCCATTCAGACCTCATGTCGGTGTATACAAACATACCACATAATTAGAATAATTATTATATAATTCACTGTTACTATATAAATTGTAATATGAATTTAACCGTAAAACATACTTACGTTACGTAAATACGAGAACTACTGTCCTGGATCCCAATGGACCCTGTTTTCGTTGTTCGAAGGTTTAGACATTTACCACAGGATGTTTGTGAGATTAAAGTTGCAGACATTTTTTGGTAGACTTGACCGGCAATTTAATATTGCCGATCGTGATCATGAGGAATGTATCTGCGTGTACTATACGGGAAAAACGTTACACTTCGAACCTCGCAATAGCCTCCCTCCCTCTCGTTTCTGGTCCCGAGAGCGTGCACTCGGTTAATGAAAACGGATGGCTAGACGAAAAAGAAGACGAGGAAAAAGACACCCGCCACACTCTCTTTTCGCCGCTCTAAAGATAGCACTTCCTTCCTTCGAGCAAGCACTTTTTACGCTTAAACTGTACATTTGTGCGCGGCGTTAACCCGACTTCTTTTTCGCCGGTGTTCTCAACCGAACGCTTCACCGAACAATTTTCATTTTAACACAAAGCAACCTGACTTATATCTCAACGAAGCAAGAACCAAATTATCGCTAAGTGCAGACGCGACTATGAAAAAGACACATGATCGAAAAAAGAACGCGAGGTATGGATGAAACGTAGTTATATCGTGCTTTCGAGCAACAAGTAGCGAACCACGTTCTACATTATCCGTTCTAACAGACGCGGTATAGATACATAGTTTATTCGACTTTGCGTTCGGTGGAAGCAAAGTATCGATTTTGATAAAAGCCTGACATGGAGTTCGTTGCATCATACATTGGAAACAGTTTATCGATTGAAATTAAATGATCGATACGACACCGTGTATGTCGTTGTGATTAAACATTAACCGTTCCTGTAAATATTCAAACGCGTGTTTCTTGCACGTACATGTATTCTTGCGCAGGTACATCAGGCAGATCGACAAGATGAGATATCAATGCGGATAGCAGTAGTATTTACACTTGACACGATCTAGAGAAATTTCCGTTATCGTAATGAGATCGAGCTCATGCTACCGTAGAGGATAAACTTTTCTTTAATTCGCACCGATATTATTATTAAGCCCCGAGGCTCAAGATGCCCGAGATGAAACCGAATCGTAAGGTTCCATCGGTATCGTCGGTTACACTGGGGCAATGTTAACAGGTAACTTTTTTTCGAGGGCAGGTGGTCCCGAACAGGCACGCGACAAATCAAGCAGAACCGAGCCGTGGACAACTACGAAACCGCGATTAAAAATATACATCCTTTGAATCGTTTTGATCAACGAACGAATGGATACGTATAATAACAAGCTAGTATACGAAAATAACGAAAATTACTTGTTCTGGTGAATTAAGAATTTTTCAACGACAAATTCTAATGGTAATATGAAAATTCAATGGAATGTTTAGGAATTGCTACCGTTAAATAATTTTGTATTGTTCTATCGTACTCGCAGCGAAAGTATTTATGTATTCATTAGACGAGAATTTTACGACTGGCGTGATGTCCTTATAATTCACACGAGATGGTAGCATTTACTGGCGAACAAGCCATATTCTTTGGTGTATTAATAACGATGCTTCGGCTCTCATGTAGTCTAACCGCGACTAACCTTAGTCTACTTGGTTTAAAACGTAACACAACCCACCTAACTAGTTCTGTACTCGGCGGTAACGTTCTCTGCGCACGGCATTGTATCCAAGGATCGGGCCCCGCATACATATGTACCCCTGCTGCAGGAGCAACGACTGAGCCTTCTGTATTGCTAACGAAATAGAGGGAGAAACACTATTCCCTATGAATCGCTCCAATGTTCGTACCGCGTCTCTTTCTTGCGACCCAACTTCTAAGCAAATCGACCGTTCTCTTGCTTGGCATTCTTTTGGTACATTCTGCATGCCATCTACTTAGACAGAAATTTGCAACTGTTCCATACCCGTCTGGAGCTCAGGGTTCTCGAAATCGATTTGAATATTTCACGAAAATATAATGCTCCCGGTTGACTCGGTCAAACGTATACACCTGATTTTTAATGTTGCTCCTGCGGTAACGGTGGAAGAAGAATTTGTCGAAATGGTAAGGCGAAGGCAAACTGTTCAATTTCTGAGCGACGAAAAGCAAGCAATGCCTGTCGATTGGCATCTCACGCGGGTAGGGAGTGTCACGAACATGACAGCGATATGTTTTGCGATCGTTCAACGCGAAATTACACGCGTAAATGGTCTCATTATCCGGTGTCGACAAAATGTTTTATGTATTTTCAAAAATACCAAAGAAAAACCACATGTGCCAACTCTCTATAAAATATTATACTATCTTTTTAGTCGTTGACCGACCGATATGGGGTTACTTTCGATCTTTGTGTATTAAACGTAACGATAATAAATAACGCTGCAAACTATGTGAAATGTACGAAAATAGGTCATAATATACATTCTGTACGGAGAGGTATCATTTATGGTGCACTGTGCACATATCACGTATGTCTGGAGTCTTGTGTAATAACGTTTCGCATTTTAAAAACTAGTTGTAAAGTGTCTATAACCTATATTTATATAAGGAACATAATTTATTACATGATCGACTGTTGGGAGGTTTAGGACGCTCGAGAAATGACTATTCGTGATCCATAACGATCAATGGAAAATCCTAGAATTGTAATCCGGCGAGCAATGCTTATACACCCCTTACAGAGCCATCAACGGAATTTATGACCAGAATTTACTCGATTAGTATGGCCGTCTTATATGACGAGTGTGACTAACCTATTTCGACGGGCACGTTAAGATGAGGTTGGCGGTATTTCACAATGTAAATTTTAACCTCGACACGAAGCCAGTGGGGAACCATACGTCACGCATACAGACGCGACCTTGACCACGTTTTTTGGACGGGAGAATCGACAACGCGCGGGAATATACATGAGTCGTCCCTAGTCAACTGTCGATCTAATTCCGAAGACGAAGATGAAATTGAGTACGGTGGGTCAAGATTCGAAAGAAAACATTTTACGAAAAAATTAAGAAACTACCGTGCCTCGATAACAGTTTCTCTACTCAAGTTCGTTAAATCGATTAAACAGTTAGAATGAAATAGTATAATACTTGCGTTGACTAATGCAGTCGAGCGAAACATTAATTGATTATCGACTAGCGGTCTACGATACATTTGAGAAACAGTATCGTGGGCCTGCTACGAAATTTAATTTACGCTTTTAATACTCTCGGTGGATCGTTGATGGAAGAAATTTTGAACGGCTCCCAGGTTGGGTTAGGTGATTTGATTCTAATCAACAACGTCATTAATTGTTATCGGCTGAACGATTCTATCGTATTATTCGATTCACTATCCGAATTACTATTGTCGTTTAGAGTATAAACCCGATAATCATATCGATCGACGACAGTACGTTCTCGGACGTGAATGATTATCAGAAAGTTATCTCGAAGGCGAACCCACACGCGTGACCTTGCCGGTATAACCGGCTTCGCCATCTTGCCGATGCGTGCGCCTCTCTCACCACGTGGATAAGTTTTCCACACGACACGAGCACTCGTAGAGCAGAGTCGATCTCTCGCGACGATGTAAAATAAATTCCAATAGTTATGTAGACAATAATTTCGTTGCAATCATGAATCAGAAAAATCCCCCTAAATAAATCATTCGAAGAAATTTTGTGACAGAAAGTTTGGTTACGTATTCGTACGAAGTATTGAATGAAAATGTAGAGACACATTTTCGGCGGAAGCATTTTTCGAGGTCGCGCGCAGTGGTTCTCAAACCGATAGACAATATGCAGCGGTTCTTTTTATGGTATAATCGTTTGTCAAGCACTTTTCATTCAAGAATGTTCGACGATACAAATCACACAAAACTTTCGTAGCAATCAAAGCGACGATGAAAATTGGACAGCCAACGATATTACGCGATTGTCCTTTCATGGAAAAATACAATTGACGATTGATGCATTAAATAACAGTATAACGTTGTCAGTCTGCGGTATAGGTTATACAAAAATATACATTATATATATGTCATCGTATGATTATGAAACATTGCTGGGTAGGATTATTTATATACAGGAGGTAGGGAAATGAAGGTGATTATATACAAGAAATGGTATAAAGCATATATGTACAAGCGTGCAAATGTGTATATTTCTACTAAAAAAAATTTTCTTACAAACTAGTTAAAAAGCGTCTATGTAGGAAGCATTATGATCCGAACGCACACGTAGACGAGACTCGTTGCATAGATAATTCAACAAGTCTCTTCTTACGGATACGATTCGTGGAAGCTATATCTATAGTACAATAGCATAATCGTGTGAAGCAGTAAAAGCGTTCGATATTTTCTAAATTATCAAGCCTTCTAGATCCATTTGCGTTCCCCTGGTCGAGGTTCCCCGTCGTTTTGGTAGTCGAATGCGACACCAGGATCCTGTGAATAGCAACAGCAGCGGCAGTAAATGCAGCGATATATACAGAGCGGAATAGTAAAAAAAAAAGCAGCATTGTTCGAGGTGACCGTATCAGCGTAGCAACAGTTGATAGGAAAGCGCGTAGCGATCTAACCCAGTATTTATCTCATCTGTTGATTTTGAACTCACCGTTAAGTTTGTCGATCGCACGATCCGCCACAGATTGATCGGTACAGTCGACGAATGCATAACCGCCCCGTTTGACCAGAATCGTGGTACACGACAAATTGTGATCCTGGAAGAGCTGCCTGAGGGCACTCTCGTTACAATCCGACGGCAGATTGCCCACGTACAGCTTCGACATGATGGTTGGCTCGCTCTGTGACTGTATAGTGGCTGCTTTTCCGAGATATGTCTCGGTCACGTGGCTCGTGAAATTTGCAACCTCAGTGTGTCACGCGGTCAAACGAAGGAATCCCTGGCAATGCGATGCACACGCCAGCGAGGATGCGATCACGACGCGAAAACGTAAGACGACCGACGAATATTTCGCACCCGGAACGGAGGCGGAGGGAGGGGATTCACCGCAAAGGACCGTAGACTTAATTCGACAACGACGACGACGACACGAGCACCGCACGGTTTGACACGACGAGGACCACGACTGTCTGTACAGACCCGGCCCGGGAACACGTATATACCGCGAAAACAGGCAGACACACCGTCGTTGGTGTTCTTGATATTCACGCAAGACGAAACGAACACGAGACGCGTGCTTTCGTCAGGACTTATTCCGTGGCTTCTTGTGTTTGGTTATTATCTGATTGTCCTGGCGAACACGATTTGTCTTTCTCGCGTGTAATACTCGGCGTGATTTTCGCGCTTGGCACACCAAAACGTAAAGAGGCACAGGAGGTATTTTCGTGACTTCTTGGATGATCTTCTCAGCGTTTCTGTCTGTACTGTCTTTTGTTTCTTCCTTTCTTCCTTTCCTTTCGAACGGCTGTCTATTTCCCGCTCGCTTCGAGATACAACGACTCTCTATCACGTTGTCTCGGCACCGGTAGTACACAGACTCGGCGTGTTTCCGGTGCTAGGTGGATTTGCCGACGACGATGTCCCGCGAGCCTGCTTGATCACACAAACCGACGTGGATGACTGCGACGACCGATCAAAACGGAGCACGACGAAGACCGTGTCTTCACGGAAACGACTCTTGAACTTTTTTAAGGTTAAGGGACGCGCGTTGACCGTTCTCTCGACGAGATTCACCGTGTACTCCTCAGTGACTCCTCTCTCTCTCTCTCCTCTCCTTGCGACGACGACACACCTTCCTACCAAGCTCTTCTCTCTTTGGCTAGCTACGATACGACGTCCGAGGGGCTCTCTCATTCGGCGATTTCTTTCTCCTTCTTTTTCGCGGTAGTTCTACCCTTTCTCTCTCGCTCCTCTGCTATTTCGCATGTTTTAGAGGAGGGTAGGGAGGGCGGCGGTGCGATGCAAACTCGTCACTCTTCTCTTCTTTTTTTCTTCCCTACTCCTTCTTCTTCGCTCCTTTTTACCCGACGTACAAGCCTTCCCGTCTCTCCTTTGCTACTCGTGCGTGCACTTTCTCGCTCTTTTTTTTTCCCATCTTGTTGTCCGTCCTGTTCTAGCAACTAGAACCTCTGAGCGCTTAGCGGGAAACCAACTCGAAATTCGCGAGTTACTGGGTCACGATTGGCTAGTTCGGTACCACGTGGCTGCCCCACCGACTCCCGCCTCTGTTCCGGATTGGACGAATTTCGCACGCCGGTTTTCGCAGCCGGCATAAACGCGCCTGTCTGTTCTGCTGCGTGCCTGCTAGCTTTTACGTGCGTGCGTGCGTGCGTGAGCGCGTGCGTCTCACATGCGCGTATGCACGTATGCATGCGCGAGTAGGAACGAGCGTATCGAAGGCCTCGTGCACGCATGTGTGTGAAGCGACGAGAAGCGTGCGAGTGCGGAAACTTTCCTCCTTTTTTCATCGTGGTCCTCGCTCCTTCTCTCCGTTGCTCGCTGGTCCCTGCAGAAATCTACCGGGTGTTTTCGGCGAACGGTAGCACGGTTAACGAGTTCCTTGCTCCTGCGCGTCGTTGGTATGCATATTGAGAATGTTGCAAGAATCTATCGGACGCCCTTTTTTTTCTTTTGCTAGACCCCACTCTGGGAATATACATACGTGTTTAGCGAACGAATCGAAGATGGGTATCTTCGCCACGGATTTGCATTTATATAGTGACAAGGCAATTTCTGTAGCATGATTTCCGAGCATCGATGAGCTCCTCGAGTAACATTATTGTTACAGTACTATACGTCGGCTCATATAAATACTTTGTCATGTATATAATGAACCGGTGGTTCACAAGTATCTTTTTCTAATACCGTGTCTCGAAAAGTTCCACTTTTCCCTAGAATCCCCTACCGTGGGATTCGATAATCATCGTCGCTGAACATCGCTGTCGTATTACTGTAATGCAGTTACATACTCGGTTCCCTTTTAATGTGATAATTGTTACATTTTTAGTACCGACTTTTGAACATACACGAGTTTGTTTGTTACATTTTTAATACCGACTTTTGAACATACCGCCTCGTTTATTTGTTGTAGGGTACCAATTTGAACTTCGCATGTTTACAATAATGCTTCGATAATTCTAAATAATTGCTTGTGTGGCATGATCGTATCGATTACGGATTAAGAGATTTTAAGCGAACAAATTTTCAGACTTACGATACTGCTGTACATCGTGCAGGCATAGACAAATTCGTTCTTATGTTAGAGCAGAACCGCAGCTACAAAGGGGTGGAGTGAGACAGCTGCCTGTGTGCCCAGGGTCAGGGTGCTCGGGGTAAGAGGTTGAAAAAGGAAGAAACTGCGTCCATGTTACCTCTATTCACCTGCCTTGCTTTAGTGGCAACGTAAGACAGAGCTAATAAATGACGATTAATTAGCTGAACGTACGGTCTTGGCGATAGTTGACGCTTCATTAGTCAGGAGAGAAGGTATCCTTTCAAGATTATTGATAGAACAATGGCTTTATTCGATCTCATCTTTATAATACGTACACAACAAAGTCCCACATACACATATACACTCCAAATTGTGTATCTATCCGAGCGAGTCCAATTGATTACTAAATATTAAATATATTTATAGACGTATAATACAATATATATATACTCCGGTTTATCGCCAGTCAACGGTAGTGCACACTCTTTTATAAAGGAACATTGTCTATTAGCATACAGAATTTTTATTATTATTTCGTAGTTAAATGATCTAGTTAGAACGAAATTGGAAAGCAATGTCTAGCGAAATAAAAATTATGTTCGGAAATGGAGGAGCGATTCAGAATATAGTCGACTACATTTCGGTGTGCCATCCGGTTTTCGTGTTCCCCTACATACCCCTCCCAATTTTAGAACGCCTATTCCGACCCTCCCCTCCGGTAGCTTAGAACTATTCGATTACCCCTGTCCACCATTTAATGGGGGCGTCCTTAGAAACGTATGGAAAGGAAATTTGGTCACAGGATATTATACACGCTCTCCTAGAACGCGCTTGCACAGAAAAAGCAAATGTTCAAGAAATATTTTCAGTTTTGTTGATCGTATTATTATTTATTCATTAACCAAAACGATGCAATTCATGTTGACATTTTGTATAAACGCATTTGTACTTGGGTATGCAAAATCTTGTTAAGAATTTGTCTAATTACATCATTATTTCAACAATATATTTAATTAACTTTCAAAATGACATTTTATTATTCGATTGCAGGGTTCTTTCGATCACTATTAATTGGAGTGAAAGTAAGCATAAAAGTTCAGAATAATGTTGTAAGTGGATCGATGAATCGAAGGATGTTCTTCTTCCTGAATAGTTTTGCAAATATTCGTTTTGTTATTACAACTAACTTAACCCTTCATAAGTATTGTGGGTCGCTTAACACCCAAAGGAATTTTCAATTTTTCGGGACTTCGACTTAACGAACAATTATGTAATCAGTACAGACCTTGATAAGTATTCCACAATTTTAAAAGATTTTTTGAAAACTTAAGGCAGTAAAAAAAGATTAAGCTTGGACATAAACGACCCAGTTTGCCTACAGAGTATGAAAAAGTATGTTTACTTGCGGAGGGTTAATAATATGTAGATTTTTTCAATGTTCTTATTAGTATTATTATTCATTAATTATATCGAATATTCAGTGGCACAAGGCAAGGAAGGTATCTATAAATACATACCTACAGTATCCATTTTTATGCCGGATTATATTTACCTAATCGAAGGGAGCATTATTTGAATCTCAACATAAAGAAATGTTAAGAACGCTGACTACAATACAGCCTACTGTTGCTATTTTTGTCCTGAAAGCAACGCGCGACGTAATAGGAACTGCGCAAAAATGCTCGGCTGAGTGAACTTCTTTCTCGGAAATCGAGCAGTAATGCCTGATATCCGCAACGCGGCACGTAGCCGACTTGTTTCCAGCTGCAGGAAGTAATTGTTGTCGCGAAGTGATTTCTCGTGTATGTACATATGCACGTAAAATTTTCGTATTCGATAAATATTATTCGTCGCAATCTTTTGTGTGTAATGAAAGCAATTTATTTTTTCCTTTTCTTGGCAACAGTTTCGTCGTGTTAACGTGTCGAGCACAGCTCCTTTGACAAATGCATCCAGAATGCGCGATGAGAACTGATCGTTGACAAGTTGTACTTGTCACGCGCGAGGGAAGTGCACCTGATGAAGATTCGATTGGAATGTTAATGTGAAAATGTAACTTGACACAAGGACATTTCGGTGAACTAATAATAAAACATACTGTTCGCTCTAAAGAATTAAAATCAGGCAATGAGATACACTCCTCGTGCTCGGTTTAACGGTCTTAAATATTAATTTCATCGCAACTACTTTTTATAATCACGCAAGTTCAGTGAGTGCTCAATTAGTACACCCTACGAAGTGCATTTTCTATTGTTACGTGTTGTTTTGTCACGATTGCATTTGGAAATGCAAGGGAGAATGTTGCAGGCCTTTCAATTATCAAAGAACAATTATTGCATCGACGATTTCGTTCCCATAAGGACTTAATTACAGTATTTTCCTTATTTGTAAGTAAATTTCCATTAAAATCAACACTAGATTTTAATGTTTAATTTTAAGTAATTTCCCCAGTGCGTTCAAGTACTTTAATGATTCACTGTACACAATTTCACATCATTTTACATAATTTAAAGTAACGTTCAACACAATTTCTACATGATCGTATTGAATTATTGATGTTGAGTTTATGCATCTGATTTGAAAATAGGGATGTAATTCCGAAAAGGTCTGCC